CAAGCAAAAAAAAAGAGTTGCTGCCAGCCGGTTACCTTCTATTTAGTCAGCATTTCAGCAACAACAAATAAAAAGGCTGGCTGCAAGTGCTACCAAGCACTCCGGGTTCTAGTTAACCAAAACTCCCAGGTCCTGTACGCATGATAATTTGTTGTAACGCATGAGAGTTGACCCCCCCCCCGGTACCAAATATGCACTGCAAAACACCCCATATGCAAGGCAAGTACTTTGCTTTGAACCATAACAAACTAAACAGCATACTGTTTGTACACAACTTCTAACAGTATTCATCGATGACAATAAAATGCACAAAAATAACGCCATGTGAAAGAACCACAAGATTGACCATTTCACCTTGGGTAGGTCAAAATGTGAATGTCGCAAATTTTCACAGTTGCATTCAAAATTTAATTAAACTACTTTATTATCAATATATATGAATAAACTTGGCATTAGAATGTAGATAATAAATCAAAGTTTATTATTATACAAGTTTTAATTTTATAAGGAAATATTCTAAAAACACTGTATTAATATAGATCTTGCTTATCCACTATACTTTAAGTAGGAATTGCATAGGCATTTGCATCTGAAATGCACTTTTTTTTTGAAAATCAAACTACAAGCAGGTTTACAGGAAATTAAAAAGTGGTGGAAACATTGAAAGCATGCAAGACTTTAATAAGATCAATAAAACTAAAGTACTATTCATCTATTGAGTTTACCTAAGGGTAAAAAGCATAGATGAATATGAAAAACATTTATTGAGGGGGGGGGGGGTTGCTGAGGTAACATTAATTTCTATTGCCATTTTTTTTGTAGATATCAATTTGGAAATAGTATAATACTTGTTGTTATTGAAATAAATTCAGTATCACTTTGTTAGTGTTCGTTATCTTGTTTTTATATCTTTACTTGGTCTTCAAATGTTCAGATGTTTGTGAGATAATATCATATAAACATGCCAGTTTCATTTTTAACTTAATTTGCCAGATTGAACACATCTAGCCATATTTCTTGATTGAAAGGTTCACTTCATGCATTTTTATGCAAATGTAGTTGTGTTTCTTCCTGACAAACTTAAAAGATAGATGCCTTATGTGTGGCTTAGATCAATAATACTGAACTATAGCAGATAATTAAATTTTTTCTGATTTCTGTATTGACTAGAGGAAAATCATGCTTCACATACAAAACATTTTTTTGGTTGTAGTATTTTGTATTTGAATGTACAAAGTTTATAAAATGTAGAAGCAGTGCTGTGTTTTTAAAAGTAATTAAAACAGTTAAATGACTTGCCTAGACTACTCATGTAAAGCTGATGGCTGTGCAGGGTGTCTCAGTGACTGTGATGTTAAACCTAATCTATAACATGTGTTACCACTGAACACCTCTAGTACAGAAGACCCATTGAGCCAAATCGGAAATGACTAAATAGTAAGAGACACTAGACCTAGTGATTCTTTCAAAATTTGGGTATCAAGGGCAAGTATTAAAAACTTAATGATATTGATCCCAAGTCCCTACTCAACACAAACACTTCTATCTGAGTTGGGGTTCTGAGGGATGACAGATACATTTCACAATGCAGAGTAAGTATCACATCCACCCCTCCTGTATGCATATCATGATGTCACCCTAACTTCCTTACTCCTAATTTCATTTTTGCATAGTTTAATGAAGTTTAAAACACACATATGCACATTACTCTAAATTATATAGATTATTTACAAAGGCTTACATTAACACATACAAATATAATCAAAAACATAATTTTTGACCCTTTAAATAATGATTTAAAATGTAACATCAACATTTTTTTTCTTTCTGTCTTCAGGGTTTAGTTACAATAATGGTGAAGTTTATGTTTACATGTCAGTTTTTTTGTTTTTGTTTTTTATAGTTTAACATGTTCTTCTACAAAATCTTATACATAATCTGTCTTCAGGGTTTAGTTACATCTTGTTTAGAAATCTTGAAAATGTGCCAGTTGTACATACAGAATATGCAGTAAATCTGTCAAGGGAATGGAAAGTATTTAGGTTAAAAAGTGTAAACTGACATCACAGTGTCTGCTGAATAGGCTTTTCCTGTGGCATACATCCAGCTTAAATATTCAGCTAATTAAATTAGTTGCAAAATAGGAAACACATTTAGGTTCTTAATTATACAAACTTATCTAGTAGAACACATGCATGTAAATGTAATCCTTAAATGTTTGTGTAAATGCAATATGGACTAATTCTTCAGTGTACTCATGAGTGTACTAGTGCACTAATTCAACATAGTCATACATAGCCAAGAGGTGGGTGGGTTGAAGGACCACAATATTCTAAAAAGCCTAAAAGGTTCACTATCTCCTGATATTTGTTTTTTAGATAAACACTTGACCTTCGTGTAAATCGCTCAAGTTCTTTGTGCAGAAGAAAAGGTTCATAATTTCTTGACCTACTCACACATTCACTCTTTGGTTTTTACTGTGTCACTTGACCCATCTGAGCTTTTCTGTGGTTTAGTTGATTTTCTGGCCTTCTATTAGCTCAGAATTGCTCAACTCTACATACATTAGTCCTTCAGTTTACAACAAATTTACAACATGGAACTACTCATTAGTAGTCTCTTCTTTCAATTTACAATACATTTACACATGGAACTACTCATTGGTAGTCTCTTCAACTTACAATACATTTACACATGGAACTACTCACTGGTAGTATCTTGAACTTA